AATCCAAACAAAATCAACCATTTGTTTATATGTGCAGACTCTGTAGGTCAGGAATTCTGACAGGGTATAGCAAAGATGACTTGTCTACACTCCACAGTATTTGACCAAAGATGGAAGTAACTAAATACATCTTCACTCATATGCCTGACAGTTAAAACTGGCTGTTGGTCGAGACAACATACGGGCCTCTACATCAGGCCTGAGTGGCCTGAGTGTAGTTGGACTTCTTACAGGGCACCTGAGCCTTCAAAGGCAGTGCCTCAGCAAACAAAGCAGAAGCTGTGTGCTTTTTCCTGATCTCTAGTCTCAGAAGTCTTTCAGCAACACTTCTGGGCATTTTATTGGTTATAATCCAGTCATATGTGGAAGGGAATTAGACTCCATTTCTTAATACGAAGTGGCAAGATTCTTTTTGTTTTTTAAACTATATTTATTTATTTAATAATATTGAGTTTTGGGTGAAAGAATCCGCCTTAGAAGCAAGGATGGAGAGACTTCGTCTCACGTACTTTGGACATGTTATCCAGAGGGACCAGTACCTGGAGAAGGACATCATGCTTGGTAAAGTAGATGGTCAGTGAAATAGAGGAAGGTCCTCAACTAGATAGACACAGTGACTGCAACATTGGGCTCAAGGATAACAATGATCATGAGGCTGGCACAGGACCAGGCAGTGTTTCATTCTGTTGTACATAGGGTCGCTATGAGTCAGAACTGATTCAACAGCACCTAACAACTGTCATTATAGATAGCTATTACTTGTTTTTTCCACATCCTTCTATGTAATAGTAGGATATGATGAAGAATAAAGAAAGTTATATGTGTTAACTAAAGTTACTGAGTGTCTTGTTTGGATCTGAAACTAGAACACATGAATTTTTGCTTAAGGTAAATGTTTCATTCTTCATTTTGCCTCTTGTTACTTTCATTGAAAAATTCTACTGCATAACAAAGAATCACAGTGCTGTTTCATAGTTCATTTCTCCACTCTAGGTGCCCTTTTGATGGAAAATGTTCAACCTATGTATCGGCGAGGAGCAGAAAGATTAACAGCACCTAACGAGGCATTTTTATATTGCTCGCATATGGTGATGCTATCAATATGTCCATTATGTGAGAGTAATGGGGATGATGGAGTGCTGAGTTTTAAGAATAGTGGTATGGTGGGGGCAACAGGTACTGTTTGGAGAAGGCAGTGAAGAGATGGGTGGTTATGTTGGTTATGAATGGTCTACATGACCCTGAAAATTGCCAACCCTTTGATTATTGCCCTTTCTTCTTTATTTCAATACATTTGTGGCTCAGTTGTAGAATTCTCACCTTCTGTGCAGGAGACCTGGGTTTTATTCCCAGCCAATGTACCTCATACGCAGCCACCACCCATCTGTCAGTGCTAGCTTGCGTGCTGCTATCATGCTGAACAAGTTTCAGCCGAGCTTCTAGACAAAGATGGACTTAGGAGGAAGGTCTGGTGATCTACTTCTGAAAATCATCCAGTGAAAACCCTATGGATCACAATGGTCTAATCCACAAGCAATCATAGGGAAGGTGCAGGATGGGGCAGTGTTTCATTCCATTGTGCATGGAGCTGCCATGATTTGGGGGTCAACTCAAAAGCAGCTAACAATAGTATTAAAGAATTCTCTTAAATGCAGATAAGCTACATATATATTTCGCACTCCAGACTGTAAGCTCCTTGAAGGCAGGAGTCATGTCGGTCTTTAATATACCTAAATCCAGCAAAGTTTCTGGTTTAAGTGATCATTAAATATTGTTTGAATAACAGACTGTATGATTACCATACAGAGATCCAGGCTTTTATCTTTTTTCAGAGAATTCTGTGGTTTTAAGTAGAATCCTGTCCAATTACTGCATTCAGCTCAATGTCCAGAATATCTAGGTGTTGTGGAGTCTTCTTTCTCTGGTACAGACAGTGATTCCTTATGGTCCGGTGGCCTATGGACTAAGAGACAATTATCTGCTCCCCACTCCCACTCAGTATACAATGATGGAGAAGGGACACAATAACCACACAAAAAAATCTAATTTAGGAAAGAAAAGGGCAATTTAAGCATCATGCTAGGCAGGCATTGTCCTCTGAGGTCCTTGTCTTCTCCATTAGAATTTTCTTTCTTTTCCTTTGTCCTCCTTGGAAAAACGGGGCTGTTTAGCTTTTGAAGTTGACTTCTTGAAGAAATAAGATTGGGAGCCTAATAGTGTTTTGTCATTGTCATTTGTTTTTTCACCTTAAATATATATATACATATATATATGTATACACACACATACATACACGCACACACACGTATATTATTGTTTTTGGTGAAGATTTCACAGCAGTTTAGGTTCCCATCCAACAATTTCTACACAAATTATTCAGTGACATTGCTTACATTTTTCACAATGCGTGAACATTCTCATTATTTCCATTCTGGTTATTCCATTTCCATTAATCTAGTTTCCCTGCCCCCTTACCTTCTCATCTGTGTTTTAAGTAATTGTTGACTGTTTGGTCTCACATAGATGGATTTTTTAAAGAAGCACAGTACTCAAGGGTGATATTCTTTATTTTGCGAGCCAATCTGTTATTTAGCTACACGGTGACCTCACAATCTAGTTTTGGTTCAAGATTTAAAGAGTATCTCAGGGCAATAGTCTTGGGGAGACCTCCAGTCTCAACTAGTCCAGTAAGTCTGTTTTTTGTGTGTTTTTGTTTTAAGAATTTGAGGTTCTGGTTCACATTTTCCTCCCATTCTATCAGGATCCATCTATTGCAGCCCTGATCAGAAAGGTCGGTAGTGGTAGCTGGGTACCTTCTAGTTCTTCTGGTCTCAGGGTAGATGAGGCTGTGGTTCATGTAGACTATTAGTCCTGTAGACTAGTTTCTTCTTTGAGTCTTTAGTTTTCATCTTGTTTTTCACTTTTTCTGTCAACTTTATTAGGAATAATAGTCATACAATAAAGGGCATAAATTTTTTAAGTTTATAGTTCATTGAGTTTTGACAAGCATATATACCACCCTCTCAATCAAGATATAGATATTATCCAAAAAGTTCCTTGGTTCCTCTTCAAAGTCAGTCTTGCCCCTCACCTCTACCATATCCCAGCCCCAAGCATCACTGGCATGTTTTCTGTCACTGTATATAAGTTTTGCTTGTTCTGGAATTTCACGAAATATATAGCTAGTGCTCAAAATTTCCAGTTATCTCAGAAATGTCTTATTAAATTGTTAGTTTTAATCAAGATTCAAATAAAAACATACATTGAAAATGACTGATATAGCTATTAAATCTCTTTTCATTTCCTTTTCTCTCCTGCTTCCATATAATTTGTTGAATCTGAGTCATTTGTCCTTTAGATTTTCTAACACTACGTTTTTCTCATTGCATCCCATGCTGTTGTTTAACATATTCCTCTGTCCTCTACTTTCTGTAGATAGCAGCTGTAGAGATTTGATCTGTTTCACATTTGACTTTTTTGGCCTCATGCATTTTTAACTGAGTTGAAAGATTATAGAAGTCAACATTCTTTTGGTTATAAGTAATGGAGAACTTAACTAGCATAAGCAAAATAGTGAATTTATTGGCTCATGAACCTGAAAATCCAAGGGCATATTATGGATTCAGGGCTCATATTATATAATCATGTCTTGGTTTTTCTTCCTGCTTGATTCTGATTTCTTCTGAGTTTTGGCTTCATGCTCTACATCCTCTCAGGTTCAAGTCCACAAGGAAATAAAGTTGCTTTCTGATGGCTCCATTTAGTGTTATTAGCACTGATTGTCCTGCTTGGAGTATGTGTTCATCTTGAACCAATTACTGGCCCTAAGGAAACAGACCAGATTAGGGTGCTAAAGTAGAGGCAGTTTCAGCAGAAGTAGAACTATATCCACTGTTACTGAATTTGAAGAGATTTTTAGTGCTCTGGAACTGAAAGGTTGGCAGTTTTAACCCACCCAGAGTCTGCACGGGAGAAAGACGAGGAAATCTGCTCCTGTAAAGATTACAGCATAGAATACCCTATGGGACAGGTCTACTCCATCACATGAGTTGAAAAATGACTTGATGGCACCTAAGAACAAAAACAATAAGCCATAATGAAAGATGATTTAGAGAGGTGAACTCGGCTGCTGCTAACCAAAAGGTCAGGTGTTGGAACTCACTAGCTGCTCTGCAAGAGAAAAATATGGCAGTCTGCTTCTATAAAAGATGTACAGCCTTGGAAACCCTGAGGGGCAGTTCTACTCTGTCATATAGGGTCACTATGAGTCCCAGTCGACTCCACAGCAGTGGGTTTGGTTTTTGGGGGGAGCCCTGGTGGCACAATGGTTAAGAGCTCTGGTGCTAACCAACCAGTCAAAAGGTGGAAGTTCGAATTCACCAGCCGCTGCTTGGAAACCCTGTGGGACAGGTCCACGGTCCTCTAAGGGTTGTTATGAGTCGGAATCGTCTCCACGGCAAGGGGTTTGGTTTTGGGTTTTTTTGGATCTGAGAGTTGAGATCTGTGAAAACGGAAATAGTGAACTAAATTTTAATCTGGGATAAGTGATAAACAGCTGTCAGAGATGATGGAGTGGGGAGGAGTCTGGGAGGCTGAACGCCAGTCCCGAAAGAAAGCATGCAGAACACTGGATGACTGTGCATTTAACGGGCTAAGAACGTTTAACGTGAGGTTACTATGATGTAGAAGAGCTCAGAACTGAAACTTGGGTCTACTTTACCACGTCATTTTTAATGCCACCGCAGTGTATTCGTTTCAGAAAGCATTTCTTAGTGATGACTACCAGCATTGGGAGGGGAAAGACGCTTCACGGGAAAGGTCAGGATACCCTGGACAACGAAAGACAGTCACTTGGCCAAAAGAAACACAGATCCCCATTCTCCGCACAGACCCTGTAGCTTTGCCCTACCTAAGGCGAGCCGGGATCAGCCAGCACCACGCCCCTTCCGGCAACCGGCTTTGCACCTTGCGTCACTTCCGGCCCTGGGCGATTCGCATCCGGGTCATGCTAAGCTTCTTGCTTTCGGAGCCTGTGACTGGTGGGGGTGGTACGCTGTCCGCGTTATCTCCTCCCGAGGAGACGGAACCGCAGTGTCTACAGGCGAGGAGCCACCGCTGCCCCAGGCAGAGAAGGACAAGAAGGAGATCTGGCAGTGAGTGGCGGCCGGACTGGGCCACGCTGGTGCCGGCTGGAGACTCTGCTTCTCCGCCTGCTGCTGTTTCTGGGAACCGGGTGCCAGCGCTGAGGGGCCTCCTGTGGACAGTGACCCCCTTCCCCGGCTCCCCTGCCCGCCCTGCCGGGGAGGGCGGAAGATGCCGGTGAAGAAGAAGAGAAAATCCCCCGGGGTGGCAGCGGCGGTAGCGGAAGACGGAGGCCTCAAGAAGTGTAAAATCTCCAGGTAACACCTCCCCCCACCTCTCAAGCTTTCCTCCATCCTCCTTTGCTGGGGAGCAGTAGGAGAAGGAGGCGGGCCAGACCTTTGGGGCTCGGCGGTGAAGAGGTGAGGCCCCTCTGATCCACCTAGGTGGTAGGAGCAGAACACCGCGAGTCTCCTCTCCCGACCTCGTGTTCGCGCGTGTGTGCCTCCTCGCGCTTATGGAGGGACTGGAAGAGTCGCCCCACGTTAGAGTCTGCGTGCCCGGGGCGGGGGGTGGGGGGGTGGGACATAAGGATGCGTACGTGAATTGCGTTTTCCCCCATCCCCTACTCCTTCAGTTCCTCGCCGGCTTCTTTCCAGCTCTTGAAGTGGGTACAGATCCCCGGAAGGGCCACTTCTAGAATTTCTTCACATGGCATGTAAGAAAAGGAGCATAGCTTGAGGAATCTTGACAACTGCCTTCGGAATGGTAGAAAGGAAAATTCCCTATAATTCAAATCAAAATTTAATGGAGGGGCCCAACCCGGTCGAACCCAGCAAAAAAGGCCTTTTATATTGTAAGAGTCCCATTCTTTGGAAGTAGCAGTGCCTCCACCTGTGCCAAGTCCCTATCTATAGAGCTGGAAAGCCTCTGCATGCTCTTTATTTTCTAGCGTTCAGGACGCTGTTAGCCCTCGATATAAATATTAATAATTTGAGAGCTATTGCGCTCTGTATCCTCTTGGAGATAAAGAGGACAAAAGAGCTGTAGTTTATAGCTTATTGATAGCATATCATTGAGGCATCACAGCAACGTTGTATGCTGCAAAAGAGTCATTTCAATTTAGGTGTGAGAAGTAATTTTCTTTTTAATTTCCTTATTGAGTGTCTTTGACTATATCAGTGGTTGGCACTTAATGCGACAATTTCAGATGTTACCTTTTAAAGGAAGACAGTAGCCAGCATTGTAAGGAGGAAATAATGATAAAGCTCTCCTTAAAGAGAGATGTGTTTAAAATGTAAGGTAAAGGACTTAATTAATCAGCATTTTCCTTTTTGTAATCGACTGAACTTTTATCTTTCATTACTATGTTTTGGCAAAGGAGCCTGCGAGTATATCTTGGGCTGTTAATGTGAAAGGTGATGCTTGTTTCTTGTATTTCTTGATACTTCACGCTGGCATTTGACGTGATTATTAGCTCATATTTTTATGCAATATGCAAATTAGTTTTTCCTGTTGTAACATGTGGCCATCTTAAACGTATGATATATCAGAATTATTTAGACAGCTGCATTTTCAGATATTCAAAATGGGGTAATTTTGCCTAGTAACAAAATGCAACCAGTGGTAACATAGTAAATCAGTAATTCTTTATCTGGGCATCATTTATTTAAAAAAAAATTAATAGATTTAAAATTTTTAAGTTAACACATTAAAATAATTGGGCAGTCAGTTATTACAGCTCAGGTAATACATTACTTGATTGCAAAAGTTCTAGCATTTCTTCATCATTGTGGTAGTGTAATTGTTTGAACTCCTTGAGAAAGGTTCTTCTCAGAAGTCCATTATATCCTGGAGGCCATTTATGAATTTTCAAACTTTAATGATCAAAATATGACCTAAAAATAAACGGATTGGGATTTAATAGCTTTGGCCCAATTATTTGGACTGTTACTAAGTGTTGTAGAGTTTTGGGGGAATTTTTTTAAATCTGTGAACCCTAATTATACTCTTAGGTCCTAAATCATTTTTTATTTTAAAAATCTACTTAAGTTTGGCAGATGATAAATAACTCAATGTACAATTTGTTAATTATCAAAGTTTGCTTTGTAAGATTTTGTTTTCAAAGTGTTTGGAGTATATTTATTATATACCAAAATAATTTTTGTGAAAATCAGTATCGGGAAGAAATTTATACATTCCCAACTATTAGCCCTGCGTTGAAACCATTAGATTGAACTTCTGTGTAGCCTTTTGAAATCTGGGGAAATAATATTAGTTGATATTTTTGGAATTTGATAATGAGCAAAGTAGCTTTTAGGTTTTGTTAGCCAGAAATTCTTACAGGCTGTTGTTCTAAATTGCAGATACTTAACTTCATTTTTTTCCCTATAATACCAACTGTTTAAAAAAAATACTGTGTTTAGTTTGAATTAAAGTGGTTCATACTGAACTTAGGAGCCTTGGCACACAGTGGTTAAAGCACCCAGCTGCTAACTGAAAGGTTAGCGTTTCAAACACACCAGCCGCTCTGCCTGAGAAAGACATGGCAGTCTGTTTCCTTAAAGATTTATAGCCTTGAAAACTCTACGGGGCTTGGAAACCCTGTGCCCTATAGGGTTGCTATGAGTCGTAATCAGCTGGCAGCAGTGGGTTTGGTGGGTTTTATTTTTTTTTGAGTGCTGAACTTAGCTTCTCACTAAGAATTGAGACCTGATAAAAACCTTAGGCATTTGTGTGTTTTCTAAGCTATTGCAGATCCCAACCTCCTGCTAGACTGATAAGCGGAGAAGAACATTTTTCAAGCAAGAAGTGCCTGGCTTGGTTTTATGAGTATGCAGGTAATGAAATTAATGTAAGAAGATATCAATGATATGCTTTATAAAGTTTTTTTAGTTCATTTAACAACTTATTAATTGCAGGCGTGGTGTATGTTAGTGTTGTGTGCTGCAGTCGGGGTCAAGACTGAGAGTTGTAGGTAGGCTAAGAATTTGGTGCCTTTTGATGCTGATGTTTCTTTAAATATACAGTCTAGTGGGACAGGTGAAACTCATTTACTGTTAATAAACTTTGTAAACAGAGAGTCACAATTTACATCCGTTGGCTAAAGTAGAGTCAGTATTCTGGAAAACACAAAGTAGGTAATAAAACATTTTCTACTTTTTGGTATTTTTCTGAAATGTTTCTGAACTGGAAACTAACATTTTCCGAAACTTTTTGGGAGACATAGTAAAGATTTAAAACTCAGATAAATCATTGTGCAGTTCATTCACCTTTTTAATGGTTGTCATTCAGCCATTCAGTTCTACTAAACCTGTTGCCATCGCGTCAGTTCCGACTCATAGCAACCCTATAAATGCAATAATAAATAAGAAAGTAAACAGTGTGATAAATACTGTATTAATAGGAAGATGTACTGTGAGAGTTTATAAACTGAAAACACCAAACCCATTGCTGTCGAGTCGATTCCAACTCATAGCCACCCTGTAGGACAGAATAGAACTGCCCCATAGGGTTTCCAAGGAGCGGCTGGTAGATTTGGACTGCCGACCTTTTGGTTAGCAGCTGAGCTCTAACCACTGGGTCACCAGGGCTGCGTGAGAATTTATAGGAGGAATATATAACTGAGCCTTGGAAGAGTCGGGGAATGCTTCCTGGAGAAGCTAACTTAACTGTAAGGGGTGGAGGAAAAGCTGTAGGCCCAGAGTGGTACTGCAGCTTACAGATGAAAATCAAAACCAGGGATAAAGCTGAAGAGTTAAGCAAATACAAGAAAAAGAACACTTGTTTCCCATTTACTACTAATTTTTTCATAAACATATATAAAATTTTTTTGTTCCCTTAGAATGGTTTTCGTCTTTTGGAGTTAGTGATTTTAAAGCTTTCCCCTTCCTCCTGCATACTTTTCCTTTTTCCTTTCTCTTATGTGCCTCCCTGTTTTTTGTTCGTTTTGTTTTCTTTTTAATCACTATCATTCTCAGAGTCTTTGTTTAAAGTAAAACAGTGTAGGTAGTCATTGCCTTATATTTAGTGTTAATCAAGTTAAGGTCTGACATATGCTCTGAACTTGAACTTCAACTTGAAGCTAGCTGTATGGAAAGTGAGATTATTCGGGAGGGCAGTAACTTTGCTTTTGGGATCAGCTGAGTGATCCCAAAAGTATAATTTAAAAATTATTTAGTAACAGAATAAAGATTCTTCTAAACCAGAAAAAAAATGCTATTACTGGCATCCCAGGGCAACCACTAACCCAATTTAATGGAGGGAATTCACTTTCTTATTGACCTCCATTTAAAATGTTGACCCATTATTCAAATGCCAGTTTTACTTATATGTATGATACAGAATGAAAAGATCACTTATTTCAGTTCACTTTAGTTCACTTGTAAAGGTTACTAAATACCGTAAAAATAATTAGTAAATTTTTTTCTCTTGTATTTACTTGTTTTACCTCTCCTAGGGACTTTCCTGGAACCCTTGTGGTGCAATGGTTAAGAGCTCAGCTGGTAACCAAAAGGTTGGCAGTTTAAATCTACCAGCCGCTCCTTGGAAACCTTATGGGGCGGTTCTACTCTGTCCTTTAGGGTCACTGTGAGTCAAAATCGACTCGACAGCAATGGGTTTGGTTTGGTTTGGTTTGGTTAGGGCCTTTCCTAAGTAGTATAAAATTAGTTATAAAAATTTGCAAATAAAAGTAGTTAAATGTTTATTTTCTACATCAGCATATTTTGTGATAGCTGACATAATAATTGCTACCATTTTTCCAGGAATTGTGCTAATTATATCAGTTCTTCTTATGACCATTCTGTTAGGTAGGTGCTGTTATCCCCATTTTATAAATGACAGAACTGAGGCTTAGATTAAGTAAGTTGCCCAAGGTTATAGAGCAACAAGAGCCAAGATTCAGACCCATGTCCTTCTGACCATAGAGCCCATGCTTTTAACTAGTACTGTCTTTTAATGTTTATTTTTAACTTAAAACTTATGTACGTGCCAACTAATTTTCACTTTTAAAAAGAAAATATTGCCAGATAAGTGCATTTGAGGTAACTGATGTTCTGTCATTCATTAAATGATTCGTTCAGTAAATATTTATTGAGTACATGTGTCTCTGACACTGTATTCTGGAGATACAGTGGTGACAAAGTCAAACAAGATTTCTGTCTGCCCTTGAGGGATTTGCCTTCTAGTGGGGGAGGTAGTCAGTAAACAGGTAAGTACTCAAGTAATTACATATTTTGGGGATCTACAAAGGTAATAAATATGGTGAGGTTCAGGGGTAGAGAGTAGTGGAATACTGGAAAGTGATGGACTTTTAAATAGAATGATTAGTGATAGCTTCTTTGTAGAGGTGACTTTGGGCAGAGACCTGATTGACAGGGAGGAACCAGTTTGCCAAATAAACACTAACTGTTCCATCTTAAAATGGGATATCCCTTATTAAAAGGGAAACGATAATCGTGCCTGTTGAGATAATAGGTGTAAAGCACTGGGCTTAATCCTGGCATATAATCAGAACTCAATAGACGTTAGCTATTATTATTAAAAGAATAATAACATTACAGCATCTGATTGAGTAGTTGTGTGTTTTTACAACAATATTTCAAAATCAATAACTACTCTTATGTAGCTAATGTTGAAGGTGCTGTGTCATTGATTGAGCACACACCCCCTCCCCACCAGTATCTGCTATAAAGGAGGGGTGGTTTTAGGCCCTGCAAGTGTAACTGGGAACATATCTTTATGGTTATAATTTTTTTTTAAATCAGGAAATTAATGGTGTTTTGTTTTTCATTTAGTATTAAAAAATATCACTCAAGTTGTTATTCTAATATATAGGATGTGCATGATAAGCCTAGTGATATTTTGATCTTTCACAAGACCTCTCATTCTTGAGTGATACTTAAATTAACAAAGATTCATTAATGTACTGGGACTGTGGTAAACAAAAACATAGAAATTGAAAGAATGCTTTTAAGTTCTTATAAAAAATCAAAAATAAGGTTAGAATTGCATAGTCCTAATATAGTATCTGGTTAGTAGAATGAACAAAATCATTTCCATAGCTTTTTAAATTTAAGACTTAGGAAGTTATATTAACCTTTTCTCATTGCAAGATACTTTTGAATGCACACAAATATTTTTTTAGAGAGTAGAAACCTAGTTGCCTGAGAGAGTTAGTTAAATTTAATTCCAGAGATTTTACCCAGGAAGTAATTTTAATGGAAGGGCATGGTTCAAAAAGTATAATTAACATTATGCAGTCAGGGAAAGAACATTGGCGTAGGCATTATGCTAGTCTTAGATCTGTTACTGTTGATGTCACTTTGGGAAAGTCACTTAACATTTATAGACCTAGTTTATATAAGACCTTACATACATCTGTCTTTATGTAACCTAATTTAAGTTGATTCTAATCAAATTTTAATTAGTAATTAAAAATGTTTTTTCCCAGTTTCTAGAGGGGGCTACATTTTATGATAGTAACTGATATTTCTTGACATAGCTCTTCACCTTTCTCTTCTAACCAGTGATGACAGCTTTGAGAACAAGTCTGCTTTCTTACTGCATTAGAAAGATTTAGAACATATTTCTGTTATGCCTTAAAAACATTTTGTTTTTCTCCATTAAACTTTATTTGATTTTTATTTTTATGCAAGCCACATATTCCAAAATAGAAATGATAAGTAACAAAAGATACAAACTCAGTTATTTTTTAATAGCTTTATTGTGTGTGTTATCATTTAAAAAGTCCCCAAAATATATTAATATTAGGAAGTGAAAGTTTCTTTTAATTACCATCCCCTTCGCCTTTTAACACCTCATTGCATTGTTAGTACATATTTAAACCTGATGACATTTACCATTTTACAAAAAAAAAAAATTAAAAAAAAAAAAAAGATTTTGGTTTCAGACCATGTGCTAACTTCCTCTTGGCATCCTGGATCACATCTCAGGCAGCAAGATGTATTGATCACATACTGGATGGCTACATTGTTTTAATTAGAAAAACCCTAGAACATTGGCTTCATGTTGAGCTAGTGACCTAATGGTTATATAATAAATTGCCATCTGAGCAGCCTTAGTCTAGTCTGATTTATAAAGCTAGATTATTTTTAGCCCTTAAGAAAGGAAAGCAGGCTTCTCCTGTTTATATTTCAAGACAGTTTTTTTTTTATTGTTGTACTTTAAGTGAAAGTTTACGATTCAAGTTAGTCTCTCATACAAAAATTTATACATTGTCATGTGACCCCAATTGCTCTCCATATACCATGACAGCACACTCCTCCTTTCCACCCCTGATTTCCTGGGTGCATTCAACCAGCTCCTGACCCTCCCTGCCTTATCATCTCACCTCTGGACTGAAGCGGCCCATTTAGTCTCTTGTATCTACTTGAGCTAAGAAGCACGCTCTTCACAAGTTAATCATTTTATGTCCCATAGTCCAGTCTAATCGTTGTCTGAAGAGTTGGTCTCGGGAGTGGTTTTAGCTTTGGGTTGACAGAGAGTCTGGGGGCCATGTTTTCTGGGATTCCTCCAGTCTCAGACCGTTAAGTCTGGTCTTTTTACTAGAATTTGAGTTCTGTACCCCACTTTTCTCCTGCTGCATCAGGGACTCTCTGTTGTGTTCCCTGTCAGGATAATTGTTGGTGGTAGCTGGAAACCACCTAGTTCTTCTGGTCTCAGGCTGATGCAGTCTCTGGTTTATGTGGCCCTTTCTGTCTCTGGGGCTAATATTTTCCTTGTGTCTTTGGTGTTCTTCTTTCTCCCTTACCCCAGGTGGGGTGGGACCAATTGATGCATCTTAGCTGGCCGCTAGCTAGCTTTTAAGATCCCGGACGCCAATCATCAAAGTAGGATGCAGAACATTTTCTTAATAAACTTTGTTATGCCAATTGACCTAGATATCCCCTGAAAGCATGGTTCCCGGAACCCTACCCCTGCTACACTGTCCCTCAAAGTGTTTGATTGTATTCAGGAAACTTGTTAGCTTTGGTTTAGTCCAGTTGTGCTGACTTCCCCTGTAGTGTGTGCTGTCCTTCCCTTTACCTAAGATAATTCTTGTCAAGACAATATTTTTAAAACGCTGCAGTGGCAAACACATTTTTAGCATATTTCATATTGTTAAAAAATTTGTTTTGGTCTTAAATGCAGTCACAAAAGAGACATGGTGCTGATGTAATTATTGTGTTTGGGGAATCTGATAACATAAAATATGAGAATTGATGTATTGAGTTACATTACTAAAAGTAGGAAATAGGCTAAGTGCAGTTTGTTAATTTGAGGGCAGATAAACCAACTGAGGGATTAAACTTTTATTTCTGCTGTAGAGTGGCAACCAATACCTTGCTGTCTGTTTTAGAGCCAAGATGATAAGGAAAGTATCTCCTCCTGGAAATGGAATGTAATAATTTCCTTAAGTCATTGTTTTCATTTATATGTATATCTTTTTTCAAGAATTAAATTATATTTGAGAATATTTCAAAAGGGTAATGAATGACCTTCTGTTTTAGTAAGTAAACAAATGAATACTCTCCTTCTGCTTACTGTCTTGGCCTGTAGTATTGGCACATTCTAGTAGAATAAGAAACTCCAAACTTCTTAAGGCTCTTTATGTTCTTGTATTGCCAAAAACTTCGTTCAAAGTAGACTCTAAGTAAATTTTTTTTAATAGATAGGTTCAGGTTATTGTACAAACTGGTTATTAGTATTAATGGAGTATTATTTTACTTCTTATTTTTTTGTTTATATAATTTCATGTTGTCATGTGCGTTTCTGTTCAAAGAATACTTCAAGTTTTTAAAATTTTAAATCCTGTAAAATGTTTATACTTTTATCAAAGCTATTTCAAAATTCAAATTCAGTGATCTACAAAATGTTATAGTTTATTTATAGTTGCCTTTAGTATAAGGGCTTATGTTTTTGTTGATACTAAATTATAACAGTAAAATATGTAAATTGTTTTTATCTTGAAGGTCCTGATGAAGTTGTAGGGCCAGAAGGAATGGAAAAGTTTTGTGAAGACATTGGTGTTGAACCTGAAAATGTATGTTTTATTTCTAAACAGAATGGAATACAAGTGGGGGATAGCATATTTGTACATTTCTAAAAATTGAGACACTTTAGTCTTGTATGAAGAATTTTTTTTCTTTATGTTTAATATCATAGATTTTCATTTTAGGGTATTTTTTAATCAGTTTAAGTTGAATAGTTCTCTTTCCTGGTACAAATGTTATTTGTAATAAAATGAGAGAAATTCTACCTTCAGAAGCTGTTAGAACTTTTTTAGTTTTAAGAAGTTGTCCCATCCGAGTTTCTTTATAGTTAATAATTCCAGAGGTTGTATTCTGTAATAGTTGAAGGATGGAAGTAGTTGTATAAAAATGTTCTCCATAGTAAATATAGACATGATTATCTCTGCTGACTTTTCCCCTATCCTTTATGTTCTGTTCTTTCCAGATTATTATGTTAGTTTTAGCGTGGAAATTGGAGGCTGAAAGCATGGGATTTTTTACCAAGGAAGAATGGTTAAAGGGAATGTCTTCATTACAGTAAGAAATTTTTTTAAAAAACAAATTTGATGGCCTATTTGAAGATCTTAATTGATATTTTGTGCTTCCTAATGTCTAGGAGAAAGGTTTTACCCTTAAAATAAATCTGGTTTGGTCTATAACAATCAATTTGGGGGATTTACAAAGTTATATTATGATCTTGGCTAATAAATAGTTACTCCACTTTTCATATTCTCTAAGAAGGAACCTCAATATAGTCTTATTAAAAAGTCTTAATAAAAGTCTTATTAAAAGAACTTAACGTGGATATAGGATGTTACTCCCTAGATGGGTAAGTTAGAGGTACATGAATCAAAGGGTTGTTCAGAGGTTGTTTGAGCAATAAGGGCTTTCCTATTCTGAATATATAATTCCACTATCTGAGGGAGTTTGTTTGAGTATCCTAAGCTTTAAGGCCTCCTCTCCCCTCTTGAATTTTATACTTGATTGAAAAAAGAAATTTGGAAATAGAGTTACATGGCACTTTATGATTTCTTTTTGCGAAATGAATCTCATAAAGGACAAAAGTGAAAATGTTGTACTGCTTCCATGCAATCTTTAGCCATTTTATGAATGTATACTTTCAATTTAGGATACTGCCTTAAACATGTTCATAAATTATAGAATTGCTTTTCTATAAAAATAACTTGATTTTGACTTTCCAGAGTAAAGTCTCTTTAGTTTTTGAATCAGTTAGTAATTATATATTAATTTTATATTATGTCATATCCTAATGTTCATGCAGGATGTTACTAGTTATCAGCATTTCTAAATAGTTGGAGAAAAAGCATTAAAATATTTTTGAGGCAAAAAACTGGGGCTAATTAGCTATATGGTTTTCTGTTATGATTATGCTTTTGTTAACATAGTTAACTATTCTTCTTATTTGCCTGTCCTTAAATTTCAAAATACTGGATTTTTAAAGAAAAAAGTTTATTTGCTCATATGGCGCGTAAATTTTTATATTTCATTTTTCAGTGTCTAATACTTCATAATTTTTTTTTTTACCAGCGTTAACATATAGATATTTTATGTATATTTTCTTGAGTATATATGCACCAAACAATAGTTTCTAGGATAGAATGTAAAATCAATCCTCCTGCTTCCCTTATATATAGGTGAGGAATCTGAGATTCAGAGAGGTGAAGAAAATAGCAAAAGATGACACAGTTATTTAGTGGCAGAGCTAGGACCTAGAATCTCAGTTTCCTGATTACCAATCTAGCATACTATACTTCCTATTCTGTTGTATATAAGTTAATCTTTATAAACTAGATGGCCATTGTTATTGGTGAGGTAACTGGTTTGTAGTTGCCTACTAACCAAAAGGTTGGCAGTTCAAATCCACCCAGCATTACTGTGGAAGAAAGGCCTGGTGATCTACTTCCATGAAATTACAGCCATTGAAAACCCTATGGAATGCAGTTCTACTTTGACACACAGGAAGTCACTGTGAGTTGGAATCGACTCGATGGCAGCAGGTTTGATTATCTTTTAAAATCATACTTGCAGCTGAGACTGAATTCCGTCATTCTTCTAGGTGTTGTAATATGTCTGGTTAAAATACGTTGATTCTGAAAATCTTTGTGCTGTTTCCTACCATTTAAATAGCTTTTTGGAGAAAGATTAAGTAAAATATACAAGAGTTATGTAAAGAATATAAGCTAGCTTTTATATAGGTCAGACTGTTTTATTATAATTAATGTCAATTGTAGCGTGGCCTATTGTAAGTTTTCTTATTTGTCAATATAATTGTTTTCCATGTTACTAGTATTTTAGTTAATACGTGTATATTTTTAAATAAAAAATTCCTAACTATGTTTTTACAAAACAAGATATAGAGTCTTTGAATAACACAAATGTATAAAGTGTTTCTAATGTTTATTCTTGAATAATTAGCAGCATATGCCAATTATTAACTAGACCATTAGCAAAAATTAACTAGTCCATGAGTGTGATTATTATTAGAATATCTTCCCTATAGGGAGGTTACAGGCTATACAAAATAAAGGCAATTATTCAGCACTTAAAATTGCCCCAGAAGTTCCTGTTCCACTCATTTATGATTCCCCTGCACATCTGCCTAGCACTCTGTACTGTATAACCTTGAAACTGCTCAAATTAAACAAATCTGCTGGCTGGGAAAATAGTCTATTTTCCAGTGTGTAGATTGCCATGTGAAGTACAAAGTATCTTCTCTCAACTGGCTAAATCTTATTACTCCCTGAATCTTCTTGTGAATAACTTCCTAGGAATAAAATAGTTTGAAATTTAAACCAAGACAAAAGATCAATGTAAATTTTAATTTTTAAATTTCTAATTGTTTGGTATATAGTTTTCTATAATAAAATCATGAAATATAAAGCTTCACTTTTTCAATTTATCTTTAGTTACTCAAATTTCCTTTGTAGATTTTTCATATTTTTAGGATTTCAGTTTAACATGAGCATAATTATCGATGGTCTCCAAGTCATCTTAATATAATTATCAGTTGTTTCAAATTATTTTAGAGAACTTTGGTAGAGCTCTGCTAACGAAGAGAAGTAGTCCTGTAATTAGAACGTGTAGACTGCATTCAAGGATCATGGGGTATATAATCTGTGATTCCATAATGCTTTATAGTTTTCAGAATAGAGCAGTCCTTAATGTTTGAAGGTCATAGACTCTTGAGAGTCTTACGAAAACTATGGACCTTGTCGCCGTGAAGATGCGCGTGTAGTGCTACACACGAATTTTGCATATATTGTCATAAAGTTTATGGAGATTCCCCTTTGCCCATCTGTGGATACAAAGTTCCAAGGATACTTAAAAAAATTTTGTTCTGGCATGCCTTACTGGAATAGAGGACTTTTCTCATGTCTACTAACTGAAAGCTTGGAGTTGGAGCAAGGATGAAATACAATACTGGTGGTGAAAACTTTGAAAGGACTATACTTGATTATAATGAAAAAAGGTGCAAGAGGATAGCATTAGACAGTGGTGGCAGCTAAGCTCCCTGCCAGTAGGTTACAAGTTGTATATTTTCTGATCTCGATATTGAGCCCTGAACTTCGATCTTATTCAGAAGATTAGAGGAAATGTTCTGACTTAACTTTCTTTAGGGGAGAGAGGAATGGGAAGCATTTATACAATTTTTGGTAAAGGTGGAAGAGTGGGGTAAATGGAATGCTAATGGTATGTGTGGTGTGTGAATATCATTCATTTAGCTTTTGGGGACAAAATACTAGCTGTCATTAGCATTCCTCCTCTTCATTCCTCCCAGGATCATCATCATAAGTGCAAAATCCTTCCCTCCACACCCCTGTCACCACCCCAGTTTACAAATACCTCTAGAAGTGAACTATATTGCCCTGATTGATAAACCTGATTTAGAGGAAGTCCTAAATCCAGAACTTAGTGAATGAAATTTTTCCTGTTCCACATCAGCATGGCACAGCACATTTATTGGGACTTACTGAATAGGAAGAACTTCACTTAGATCTAATACATAAATGAGAAGAAAGTCTTTTTATTTTAAAGGTATTTAATGAAGTAGAAATTTGAAACCTTCCGGAAAACATGTAAATTAATTTTCAAGTCCTCAGTGTTATAGTTTAATCCCATTTCCTCTTATTCTATCCACAGTCACCTCGGAGAGTGGTATCAGTACATGCCACTATACTCTAAAATCTGTGTAGTTTCATTTGGTGGTTATTCAGAAAGCTATCTCTTGCTTTCCAGGGTATTCTAGTTAAGTATGCATTTCTTTTTAGGGGAAATAATCTTTCTAAACTTCCCAAGTTTTGAAGTATTCATGTTATTAACTCTTGTGAGTCTGTTTGGAGGCTAGATTAAATAAAAGAATTGCGTTGGTGTTAGTGACTGTTTGGAATATTCACTGGTCTTGCTAGGTCCGTTCGCAGTCTTTATGACATTGGTAATTAGTGTGGAGGTCTGTGCTCTTGTTTTCTCCCCCCACTCTTCTCTGAAAGGAAAACATTAATTGCAGTTACTCTTCTGGATTCTTGTTCTGTTTAAGATTATGATAGACTGTTAGGAATGGTATGAAATAATTTGGACAGAGCCACCATTTGCCTGAAATGGAACCTGTGCAAAGCATTTAACACACATATTCTCACATAATCTCTATGCTTGGCCTTTGATGTTCTTGTTACAGTCATTTTTAAAATGAGGAAACTAAGGCTGAAAGAGATTAAGTAACTTGCCTAAAGCCTCATGTCTGGAAATGGAGAAGTTGGAATTTTAACTGAACTCTGTTTGACTTGAAACTTATTTTTTCTTCCACTGTATTTGGAAAAGATTTCCTGGCTTCTTAACTCCTTAGTGACTTATCACTTTCTACTTATGTCATTAAGGATTTTGTTTAAAGTACAATTTTCTTAGTCTCATCTTTCCCTAGAAGGAAATGTGAGTTTTTTAAGTAATTAAATAAATATATCACCTACTTTTTAAAGGTTTATTTTTGGTATTCGTATTTTCATTTAGAAAATATTTTTGGAGTGCTTCTATATGACAGACCATGTGTTATGCGCTGGCACTGGTTTTCAAACTCTGGTGGTAGGGAGAGGACGAATATGTGGATGTAGGGGGGCATCCTTTCTCTTCTCTGCCGCTCCTGAACTTCGGATCTATTAGGATTCTGCATGATTTTTTGTGAAAAGGTAAGTCACGTTGCTAAAAGAAAATATGAAAAACTGCTTGAAAAAGCTACAAAGATATAGAAGATGTGGTCCCTACTTAGGGTAGTTTATGGCAGGAAGGGGAGCACATGTAAATAGATACCTAAAATTAATGCCCTACTGGCACAGTAGTTCAAGTGCTTGGCTCCTGACCAAAAGGTTGGGTTCAAACCCACCAGCCACTCCACAGGAGAATGATGTGGCAGTCTGCTTCTGTAAAGATTACAGCTTTGGAAGTGTTATGGGGCAGTTCTACTCTGTCCTGCAGGGTCGCTGTAAGTCGGAATTGGCTCAACAGCAATAGGTTTGGTTTTTTTTTTT